AACCTTTCCGAATTTCAACTTTCCGAACGGGAAATCCGAATTTCTGACTTTCCGAACGCAGATAATTATTTAATTATTCGGAATCATTACCTTGGACTACGGTATTGCGGCCATCCGCTCGCCTGGGCACCAGGCGCAGCCACCGGGCTTGCCTAACTAGGTAGTTGGAACTTGGAAATCGGCCATGTGGCAAACAGAACCGTCCACCATTTCTCTGTGGAGCATCGGACGGTTCTCCTCCGCTGGATAAGTAAGGGGGTTCTGCTGCTGCTTTTACTCGTCTCTAGACTCGTCCGGTGCCCGGAGTCCAAGACCGGGCGGACGCTGGACTCACCTGCGGCAGAAGAGAAGCAAGTTCAAGCAACGACAAGCATCCGTCAGGATCCATCACAAGGATACGTCTCGTGTACCGGTACCTACCGTACTTCATGTGCTGATTGTGCTGAAGAAGAAAGGAGGAATTCTGAATGCTTCTAGCTGAGTTCTAGCAGTACAGCTGTTTGCGTCAAACTTGCCATCGGGTTCCAGACTCTCGGAGCGTGGTTCCTGATCTTGAGCCGTCCGATGCCTGCCTTGTCGTCAATCGAACGGTCCAAGATCAGGAACCATGATCGGAGCATCTGAAACCCGATGGCAGCTTTGACGCAAAGAGCTGTACTATTATAGCTGTCGAAAGATACATTCATTCGGCAACAGCGGCCAGCTTGGGAGGCTGCGCAGCAGATAGGTTACCTACATCAAAGGATATGCGAAGACATCTGCGCTGACTAGGAAGTTGGAGCCAAGCTCAAAATCGTCTCGGGGCGGACCTGCTGCGCCCCGAGGGGAAATTGGCGGTGACTGGGGGCGGCTCCTCTGAGTTCTGGATAAGAGGCTGTGGTCTTTTGATTGCGCAAGCACTTTGCATCTGCTGAATTATTGAAAAGTTGGTTCTTCAACAATGCTCACCCTAGCAGACATTCATAAGGCCAGGATTGTCGGCGATGGCGAAGAGATTGTCCTTCTTGGACATGTGAGTGGGCCTGTTCACTGCTTACAACTACACAGCTTTTATCCACAAAATCCAGAATTGGTCGAATTTTTCGCAGATACTGAATGTAAGTTGGTGATAGTCAAAGCTAAAGCGAAATATTGTGGAAGTGGAGGAACTATTGCCATCCCAGAGGTTCCTGAGCTGTCAGCCAGAGTTTTTATTGCACCGTAGCTTGTTTGTTTTAAGCTTTCTTGCAGATCCTGTGGCAGCTCCTCCTACTGCGACTCTATCTCGCTTGTGGGTACTGAAGGCGCAATTGTGGGTCTTAAGCAGATGCTGGGAGACTTGAACAATCCTGAGTCGCACGCAGTACAGGGTTTGAGCTCAATTTGTAGAGGAGGCGCCTCAAACGCTGATGGAGCTTCTTTATTGATCTTTCCGGACACCCTCAGCAGTTCCAAGCATTGAGCTTCTCATCTGGTTGAATGTTGTGGTTCATATGAGACGATATTTTCGCTTTCATTGGGGCAGTAAGTTTATCCTCTTGGCCACTCCGTGTGAGCTCATCTTTCCGGAGTGGATTTCCTTGACATCTCCAGGTCTTCCACACGTTCCGCTGTATCCCATTGGCAGAGACATATAACTCCTATTAATATGTGTGCCCTCATTTAAAAAATAATAACGTGACAGTAAAGTACGCAATGCCAGTCACTTCACTCTGCCCAATTAACGCCTTGTTCCGCCTGGGTGCTTTCTTTCTGGCTTTTGTGTTTCCCTGCAGGAACCTAGGCAACACGGCGTGGAGATTCGAAAGAAATTGCAAGAAATGCGACAATTTCACCTTTCATCTGTCTCGCCTTTCCTTCTTGAATCTGATTTTGACAAGCCCCCATTTCACAGGGCTTTGGCACAGACCAGACCGTGTGGCACAATCTGGAGCCCCTCCTGCTACGGCGTCGCTTCCGAGTCATGCTCTACAACCTGATGGGCCAGGGGACAGGTGTCCCCACCGGCTTCTCCAGCACATCTCTCGGCCACTCAGCAAACTCGAGGGTTTCGGTGGACAGCAATGGCTCGGACAGCCCCAAAGCGACGGGCAAGAAAGCCACCGCAATCGAGCGCGCGACCTCGGACGTGGCGAACGAGGAGTTTGAGCGGGAGCTCAAGGCGTTGCAGCTGTCGCAGCACGGTGGGGCCGGCGAGAGCCGACGGGGGATGTTTGGGAGGAAGATCAACGAGTCGTTCAGCCGGCTGTTCACACGGAGCAAAAAGAAGAGCAAGGCCGGGGAAACGGCGGTGAGCGAGAAAACGCATGAGGAGGAACCGGTCGAGTTGCACCCGGAGGAGAGCGCCAACGGGGCAGCGTCCAAAGATCCGGAGTTCTCAGGGAGGCGGGATTTCAAGATTGAGGATCTTGACAGGGAGGGAGACGAGCGGCCTGAGCGGATAGACGAGGAGGAAACGGAAGGGATCGTGTCGGCCGAGGACTTCAACCATTCTCGGTACACCACACTGGACGCGTTTGCGGAGGACTTGATTAATCTTATGGACGAGATGGGGGTGAAGCAGTGCATCTATGTGGGGCACTCGGTGTCGGGCATGATTGGGCTGGTGGCGAGTGTCAGGCGGCCGGACCTATTCAAGAAGCTCGTGCTGCTGACGAGCTCCCCGAGGCAAGCCTCCAAGTTGTCCCCTTTGTTTCCATTATCAAAACTCACTAACGTGCTGAGCTGAGCTTGTATGGTTCGTCTTATCCTTCCTCTTGCTATCACTTGTCAAGGACCAGCAATGGGCGACTCGCTTTCAAGGAGTCTCTTGGGCTTGTCTCTGGTGTAGAGTATGAGGTAAGTGACAAAAGAGGTGTCATGCATGCAAGATCTGAGGAGAGGTCTTGGTCTTGGGCAGTTCGGAACGTCCTTCATTGTTTGATTGTACTGGACTTCTATAATTCTGAGGAGCAAGGTGCAAGACAGTGGATGGTCTTCTTCCCCCTACTCTGAGACTCGCAGCATGGTTCTTGTTGCGTCTTCTCTTTACTTACTTGTGAAATAGCTTGCAAGTGCTTGTATTCGACTTGATAAAAATCATTGACTCTGCATTGGGTGATGGTGCCAGCCCGTGTTGATTGATTGACTTGCTGCTCTTCTGGTTGAGCCACCCGAATCTACTTTTCCAAAGATTGCTTAGCTACTTCCAAGGTACTGAGGTTGATTTCAAGTGCTTACTGACATACAGATTCGATGAGTGCTTCTTTGATTCATTGAAGTATTGCAGCTGCTGCGAGCTGGCAATCAGAAGACAGCACTAGTCTAAGGGTCAAAGTAAGGAATGTTATCCCCTTAAGAATCAAAGTCGCTGGCTGCCTTGAAAAGAGCAATTGTCTTGTGTCTTACTCTCTGCTTTACACTACAGTCACTGCAGCCGCTGTCTCCAGTGTGCATGAGTGTTGAGAGAGCTCCACAACTCGTTCTCTGTTCCCTGTCAAACCTCCTCTCATAAGCAGTCCCGCTCGGGAGAAGGTTCGCGTCCCCTTGATCTTGAGGTCCGCGCCCCCATTGTCTTTGCAATTTGTTTGTAACAAAACTTGCTTACGAATCTGGCTGGGGTCCCTCCTTTCCATGGTTCACGTATGGCTCACGTATGTGCACCTGCGCTGAGAAGTGTCCTTGTACTCTTCCTCCTCACGAGCGGCTACGGTTGTCATCTCCTTCCTCTTCTTAGCCGCCTCAGCTTCGACCTGTGGGTCCCGCTGTCTGCAGCCGTCGTTTTCCACTGCTTTTGCGTGTCTGTCGTGTCATCTTTGTGGCCTTGTCATTTGTTGTCCCGGGAGAAACACCCTTCTTCATCGTCCCTTAAAGTATTGCCAATTGTTTCCTTGTAGTGCAAGGGCGTGAGCCAGCTAGCCCTTCTTCCTTTTTCGCAGTGACACCTCTTTTTTTTCTCCAGGGTAAAGCTCAACCTCCTCTCCTTCTCTTCTAGTTGAGCGCCGATACTAACCCAGTCTTTCTCTTGATTTCGTGCTAACCCTACTTTCATTCTCCATCCGCAGATATCTCAACGACGGCGACTACGTGGGTGGATTCCAGGACGAGGACATCGATAACCTGCTGGCGTCGATCAAGACCAACTACAAGGCGTGGGTCCAGGGTTTTGCACCGGTGGCCATTCACACTCCCGACAACGAGGCGGTGGCGGATTACGCGGCGGGGCTACTGGACGTGCGGCCCGATGTGGCGTACTGCATACTGAGTACCATCTTCCGGTCGGACTACCGGCACCTCCTGCCCGAGGTGAGGCCACTTGCGCATATGCTGCTTATCTTCTCAGGCCTTTGCTTGTCTTACCTTGCATGGTCTGCTGTTGCCGTTCAAAGGGACTCGTCGGTGGGAGCAGAGGACTATTCTAACGCGGGCAGAAAAGGTGGGGAGCGAAGGGGATGGGAAGAGTGCAGAAGAAGAGAGAACTGGCGGAGGCTACGCATTCTCTTATTGGCCGGGTTGTCGAATTGTAGCTCAATGAGCTATCTCGTTGCTATAGCATAGAGAGCCAAGCCAACCTACGTAATTGATGCGTTGGCCGTATTCGTTCCATGTTATACTTCCACTTCTGCTTTGAACGTGGAGTCGTCAGTGTCAGCGGTCTGCTTTTTGAGGAGGTCGTGTGCGTCTTGGCATGCCTTAGCTGGTTTTCATCGACACTCTGGAGCTCTTGGCTGGGATTCGCTTGCGCTTGCAAGGGCCCTCCGAAAGTCGAAGGAAGCGTCCAGAAGCTTGAGAACCTCCAATAGACGCTCTCGATGGGATTCAGCTTCTAGGTTTCTTGCTGGTGCTGGCACGTACATCCTGTTGATAGCGCGGCCATTGTTAGACTGACCCTCTTCATCCTGGTCGCTGTCAATAGATCGACATTCAAGTCGTCTTGCTTTGCCTGTGGACAAACAGGAGGGAACCCTGTGCTAAGCAGCGGGTCTTGCCCATGTGTAGGTGTCGGTACCGTGCCACGTGTTGGTGAGCAACAACGACGTGGCGGTCCCGCTCGGTGTGGGCGAATACATGCACAAGCACCTGCCCAACAGCGCTCTGGAGGTCCTGTCTACCCACGGGCATCTGCCGCACCTGAGCTCCCCCATGCTTGTGAACGCGGCCCTCATCAAGCATATCGAGCAATTACCTTAGGAGGGCGCACAGTCTGTTGAGCTCGACGGTCAAGCCCCGACAGCTACTCCAGAGCAGTTTTGCATCCAAAGTGCTGCCAGAAATGGCCGTGCATGCTGTACGAGGCCGTTGAATGGACAGGTCTTTGGCCATGGAGTTCTTACTAAATTGATAGCTTGACATCAAGCAGCGAAGGCACTAAAATTGCGGGAGATTGTGAGCTGTCAGTATACCCTGCTGTAATCGCTGAATGGAAGGAAGCGTTTGAGTATTTGTAAGCTATAGGTCGCGGTTTCCAATAATGTTGTTGAGGGATGTACTAACGTCTAGACTTGTCAGTCTCAGGAATAGGCATGATCTACCTGCGAGCGAGCGCCGCAAGACCCATTAGCCAACCATTAGAACGAAAACAGTTTGAAACCGCTAAAAAGCAGTAAGTTCTGAATAGTTGAGACGACGATGGCCGGCATCCACACACAGACACGTAGACAGTGTGACTATTTATCCATTATTATGAAGCCGCTGGACCGGCATATAAAATTGTTTGTTAGTTTATTTGACTGTGCATTTGCAAAGTATGAGGACATTGCACTCGAAGACTCACACGGCCGGCGCTTGTTGCTTTTGTATGAGAACTGATGAGCCGCGTGTGCTTAACTAGTTACTAGTTGCCGAATTGGCATGGCGCGCCCCATGGAATGATTGTAGCAAAGTCGCGAGACCGTCTTGAAATTTCTGCACTTGATTCATATCAAGTTCGGATCGATTTCCATGGATATTTTCAGAAGCGTTGCATGTATACCAAGCTAAAATGTGTACATATGTGGCTAGCTGTCCGCGATCCGATGATCAGGTCAGATTTCATATTTGGTGCGCGCACATGGCCAGACGCTTGGGTCGGTGCACGACCGTTTTCTTATAATCCATGCTATCGACTCGAATGCGTGTTTTGCAAAAGCGGCAGCGCGCCCGGTGCTGTGCTGCATGCACGCAACTCGCTCATCATGAGGGTCGGACTGCGGCCCTCCCACTAGAGACGACGAGCATAGCACACCATCTTCAAGATATGTACCTAGGTCGTCTGAACAACTGGCCCATCCTCACTACGCGCTTTATTGGTCAACTGTGTGTTTGGCAGAGGATAGAAATGCAGTGAGAATGTTTGCCACCTATATGTACATTGCCTGCTCTTTGTTCCTTGGTTCAACTGTCGGTAAGTACGTTCGAGTCTTCTTTCGTATGTAAGTAGCATTCTGTACTGTTCGATCTACTATGTAGTCGCTGCACATTTAAGGATCTCGTTGAGTTTCTTTCCTTGAATGACTGACGGCACGTAATGCTGTGTGTTTGAATGTTGCTGTCTTCTGCGTGCAATGTGTCAGGAGCTGTGTCTGCACCGAAATGGATCCGTGAACTGCATCTGATCCTTGATGATGCACCCCGTGACGTCCTACTTTTGACTATGCTATTGGGGGATCCCCCTTGGAAAGATTGCGGTGTTACCTTGACTACCTGCGATGCAATACCTGAGCGGATCGATGCACATGTGACGACCAATCAAGTGCCAACCCCTACTATGTCAATCCCCACCCTTGACTAAATACACCCACCATTCTTCGTTACCGCATTGCTAAACAACCTTCCTTGGAGAGTCAGCCACGTTGAAATTGCCTTCTAGCTTTCTCATCGTAAGCATTAAATGGACTCCGCCTCATGACCTCAACTCGAGATTTCAACGATGGGCATCAGTGACGTCACGATGGCATCGAGCGTGGTTTCGGCGGGCAGCCCCCCATCTCGAGATCCGCCATTTCGGAGATCGCTGGTGCCCCCGGTTCGCTTCGTCGTTGCCGGCTTAGCAGCTTTTCGTCCAGGGAACTCTTCCGCAATTTGCGGACCATGTCCCGGGGGCTGACCCGGCTTCTCGGCGGGCCCGGCGACTGCGAGCGGCGGGTGCGGGTCGCCTCCTTCTGGAGGAGCGCGGTCGGGGTAAGCAGCGCAACCGGCGACACGAGCGCGGCCGCCTCCGCCTGGTCCAGGCGCGCGCGTGCCATTTCTTTGATCATCGAGTGCAGCTTCTCCGCGTTCAGGGGCTTACTGGAGGGGGGTGGAAGCGAACAGCCGTTGGATCTCTTTTCTCGAAGGGACGTTTGTAAACGAAGCCGTCAGCCTTTCAACCCTGTTCGTAAGTTGTGCAGCTTGCGATTGGATGACAAAACACATCAGATCGGCGCTTCCATCACACAAGATCCAAGTTGCGTTACATAAAGCGTCCCTTTCATTTGAATTGGAGCCCGGGTTCTCTAACCCCTCGTTTGAGGCCCCTTGTGTGTTGCATTCTTCCGTGGCAGAGAGGCTCTCTTGTGGCACAGCAGGGTGACGTAAGCCCATCTTGACCTCCTCCGGCTGTGGCTTACCACTCTCGTGGCCATTACATACCGCTGTCTAGAGAAACCCCTTTTCAACCACAAGTCTTGACAGCTCGGCCCCCTCAATTCCTGACACCCTCGCACCCACCTGATGTAGGCGTCCATCCCCAGCGCGAGGCAGCGCTCCGCGTCGCCGGACATGGCGTGTGCCGTCATGGCCACGATCGGCGTCGGCCGGCGCTGCAGTCGCAGCTCCCACGCACGGATGGCGGCGGTCGCGGCAAACCCGTCCATGACCGGCATTTGGACCTGGGGGTTAAGCGAACCGATTAAGCCATTTGTATTTGGGCCAGAAGCAAGAACGAAAAACAAAGTCCAACCGGAGAAGTAACAGGACGAGTACCTTTCAATGAAAGACTGACGTGATTCACTAATCCCAACCGACCGGGTTCCGAGCAGCACATCTGACGGGGAGAGAAAGCGAGACTGTGAATGCAGGCCGGATTAGCTACCAGCGAGGAAATCGATCCGACGGCTTACGTCCATGAGAATGAGATCGAACGGCTCCTTTTCGACCATATCGACGGCTTCCCGCCCATTTCCCGCCAGCTTCAACGTATGGCCCCACTTCGTAAGTAGCGCGGTCGCCACTTTCTGGTTCACCGCATTGTCTTCGGTGACCAACACGTGCAGGCTGCCCCGCAAGGGGGATCCCCGGGGCGCTTTTCGCGCCGGGGGGGTGAGCCCCGTGGAACCGGTTTGCCCGATCGCGGCGTGCACCGCGCGCAACAAGCTGTCCTCTTTGATGGGCTTCGCGCAGTGGCCCTGCGCGAGCGGCGTTAGAAAGCTTCAAACAGCCAGGACAAAGGAGTCTCGCTTCTGCTTTCTTTTCCATCAGCAGTTTGCATTCTCTCGACTGTACGCTTGACAGGCTAAGATTGTGCGCGAGCGAAGTGCCCACCTGCACCTGCAGCTCGCGCATCCTTTCCGCGTGCTCGGCGGCGGACAGCGCTAAGGTCAGCGCCACGACCGCCGTCTTCGCCAACAACACCGGCGCCTTCTCCCTGACGTCAGCAACCATGTCGAGGCCCCCCATCCCAGGCATGCAGACGTCAGCCAGCACAAGCCGGAAGGCCCTCCCCCCTTTGGCGGCGGAGTGTAACGCTTCTATGCCGGCGGGGCCGGACGTTACGACCGTGGGTGACATGCCCCAGGATGCGGTCATACCGCCCAAGATGCGACCGCTCGTGACGTTGTCGTCCACGATCAAAACCGGCAGTTTCTGCGGGGATAGATTTCCTGAATCAGTAATTGACGTACTCAAATCCGCGTTGCAACCACAGCTCTTGTGCTGTCCAAACATATAGGCGGAAGTCTGGTCTAGCTCTTACATTGGTCATGTGCGGTTTTCTGTGCTCTGGGTCTTCGGGCCAGCAGTCTTCAGAATGTTTCTCCTTCCAATCTGACCCTTTCTGTAGATGGGAGCGGTTATAGATTTGATAAAGCTTGCAAATTTCGGATCTGACTGAGTACAGCTAGCTGCGTGATCTTCCCATCTCGCACAAAGCCACCGAGATAGGAGGCTGTTTGCTGTTTCCAGCTCACACCACGGTTTCTCGCACCTTACCTCTCTTCTGAAAGACAAAAGCTAACAGTTACAGAGTGTCCTGGACGCTCAACTTCGAACTTCGAGTTCAACCTCAAATCTGAAACCTCAGAATTTCGTTGCAGATCGCCGACTCGATCCTCTCGGAAGGATTTTTTCAGACCTCCCACCTCAGCGTTCTAAGATTCAACAAAAAAGAGTCAATCACTGCAGGTATGAAGCCGACCGACATTCAGCGACTTCTGCGCGCGCGCGCACCTGGAGCGCCTCGAGCATTGCCGCGGATCGCTTAGCTGGCGGCGTATCGCTGAGCTGGAAGACGGCGGTGAACAGAAAGTTGCTGCCCTGCCCCTCGTGCGATTCCACCCACATGGACCCCGCCATTGAGGCGGCCAGCTTGGCGCTGATAACTAGACCGAGCCCGGTTCCGCCGTACACGCGGGTGGTGGACGAGTCCACCTGGGAGAACGGACGGAACAGCAGCGACTGCTTCTCCAGCGGAATGCCAATGCCTGGACGGAAAGAAAAGGGGCGCGTTCAAACATAAATCAAGTCACAGAGAATAGGTAAGATCTGGATGAGCGGAAGCCCTCGAGGGCTTGGGGCGCCTGTACACATTGAGCCGTTTCAACTTACGCCGTGTAGTTTGAAATGCTCTAGCAGATGTCGTAAGAAGCCTTTCCAGCCTGTTGTTGAACATGAAACAAACCCACAGTGCGACAAGCTCTTCGGGAAGAGTTCTCTTTGAGACCGTACAAAGTGATCAACTTTATCTTGCATCGACTGTCTCCGAGCCGAATGGAAAACTGTGAGACCTGAACTGCCCACCATGCTTTTGCTAGGCATCCCTGGCGAAGCTTTCAGGAAACAACGCGTAAGACTTTCATCCGAGATGACAACGGACGTTTTCAACATTTTTGTCGCTCTTCATGAAGCGAAAAGCATGTTTCTAAAAGTACTGATCGTGGGCGCGCGCACCTGTGTCTTTGACGGAAAACTTGAGGCCGATCTGTTGCCCGTCTCCGGAGATACTATCCAAGATAATGCTCACGAGCACCTCGCCGTGGTCCACGCCAGGGGCCGGGGTGAACTTGATCGCGTTGCCTGTTCATGAATAAGGTGTTATATCATTGCCTTTTCCCTTCATCCAAGGTCAAACCCGTATGATCGGATTCTATTCCCCGACCAGACCTTAGACTGTATTGCATCGGGGCCTCGAAAAAGGGTGTTGTCTGCTTAGACGCATAAGTCATCTTACGTGAGACACCTGTCCGACCTTCTGGACACTCACAGACAAGACCAAGATCCGAAACAGCCGCCACGTGTCGGCTTAACGACCGGGTCGAATTGACAAACTACTCAAAGGTCTACCGATGACATGTCCTAAAACAGCCGCCCCGGGTCGCCCACAAGAACCGGTTGACGAGATAACCCCACTCACCGATCAGGTTGACGAGGATCTGAAAGAGCCGCCCCGGGTCGCCCATGAGGTTGTCCGGCACGTCTGGCGGCACGTCGACGATGATCTCCACGTTGCGCCGGCACGCGCGCACAGCCAGCACGGTGGTCGCCGCCTCTAGTTGGTCGCGCAGGCTGAAGCCGACGCGCTCCAGCTCCAGCTTCTCCGCCTCGATCTTGCTGAAGTCAAGGATGTCCTGCGGAACGGCGGAATGGCGGACGGAGTGGTTTGGAGTGATAAAACATCTCGAAGTTTTGGTGCTCCTTCAAAGAAAAGTTACAAAACTCGAAGTTCATTCATGCAAGGTGGGGGACGTGTTGAAGGGTGAAACGGATTTCTGAAACAAGCAGATTGCTGCTATTTTACAACAGTTTCTGAAGGCCTTGTGAAAAAGCTGAACGTCGATGGGGACGTGTGCTTCTATTACAGATTATTTAGTTCAAGTGGCTTGCATCTCGGAGGATGATGCAAACGAGAGCGAACAAAAAACCAAGGTCTCCTCTCAACAATTTGACGAGCCAATTACCATTTTTAATGTAATTATCTAATTCTATTGAGCATCTCTAAACCGTCGTTGACCACATCGTTTGGAAAATTGATGCAACCCCAACAGGTGCTCTTCTGTTGAAGACCAGCGCTGGTCGTAACATGGTAAGCAGGTTGCATTGGCCTTACGTTGATGACGTTGAGAAGGTGCTCCGCGGAGAATTTGACGAGCTCCAGGTACTCTTGCTGCTCCGCGTCGACGTGGGTCTCCAAACACAGCTCTGAGATGCGAGAGAAACGCCGGCAATCAGGCTGCTGAGCATGCTTTTTGGAAGTAGCTATCCAGTAACAAGCGTCTTGGAACACGCTCCAAGTAAGAACAGCGCATCTTCTCAGTTTCCAATTCAAAGTTTCTGCCTCCGCCGGCCATGGCAGGAATCTGGTGAGTCCCCAGTCCCCTATACAATCTGACCCGAAACGACGAAACGCCCGAGGATCAATCCAACATAACAAACATAAAGGCCGCCGGGCATTGCCAACGTCATTCGCCTGAGATGATCTGAAGCCTGGCTGCTCTTTTCCAGAGGAGAAGAAGGCTTACCGGTGCAATTGATGATCCCATTTAGAGGTGTCTGCAAAACAAGAAGAAGTCTGTCAAATCTTTCTCGAGATCTGGGCTTGCGTTTTGAAGACCCTCAGAGGAGGATCTTACTTACCACAAACACGCGCTTGTGAAATACGGACACATTTGTCAAAGCGGCCGGACCTCTGTCTTCCTCCTTTGAATCTATCCCAAAAGGCCGGGCTTGCGGCCCAGTAGCGGCCCGCTCGCGCGCGCGCGCGCGCTCACCCGTATTTCGTGGCTCATGTTGGCGAGGAAGTTGGACTTGATCTTGTTCGCGGACACGGCCTCGTCTTTCGCATTCACCAGCTCCGCCTGCGCGCTCTGCCGCGACTCGATCTCCGCGGCCAGGTCCGCGTTCGCCCACATCAGGTCGCGCGTGCGCTCCTCGATCCTGCGCGGAACGACGCCGTCGGTCTAACTTAAAAGAAACAACCAAGCTCGGACTTTGGAGCAGAAAGAGAGATAACGGAGAGTTGCTTCAATCTTCTTTGGCCTTCGATGCCTGGATGATCAGCATCCAAACCCAAAGAAGCTCTAGTTACTCTTATTTTTCATCACTTCACCTCTAAAGAGAGACTGTGTGGACAGATGCGGAATTATGTCACTCACACACGTTGTGCAGATTTGAAAGTGCACGTACTGGAGCTGACCCTCTGCATTTGTTGCAGCTAGTCTGGAAAGATGAGCAATCTACTTAGCCGATGGTCCCATCAACTCAATGCCAATGCTAACAGCAGGTTTTCTTCTGCAAGATTCAGAGCGCGCGTGTTCTTACCTGGACTCGAGCGTACTGTACAGCTTAGCCATTTGCTCCGCCATCTCGTTAAACGTGTTCCTCAGGCCCCCGATCTCGTCGTGCATCTCCCAGCTCGCGCCCTTAGCGCGCGCGGACAGGTCCCCGTCCGCGAGCGCGCGCGCCACCTTGTCGAGCTTGGTGATGGGCGCCGTGAAAATGCGCGAGAGGAGGTACGACGCGCAGATCCCGAGCGCGAGCACGCAGGGGACCGTCGCGAGGATGATGGTGCGCATGTGGTGGATCGCGCCGTAGGCCTCGCTCGCGTCGATCTTAGCAACGATGCCTGCGGGAAAAGGGCAATGAAGTCTGAATACAAGGGCCGCGCCGGCCGAAACTTGCGACCGGAAGCAATAGACTGTAAGCTCAACCATCTCTGGGTGCTGAAATGCTCATTGCAGCGACCCAATGCGGCCTCGAGAACCGCGGTGACTGAACTTTTTGTAAAAAGCCTTTTGCGTCAGGACAGACGTGGGTTTAGTAAAGATCAGAAAAGATGTACTTTCGCGGGAAAGGTTCCTCACCCCACTCGAGGATCCCAAGCGGCGCATATGCTGCCGCGACGACCTTGCCCCGGTAGTCCTTCTCGTTCTGGAAGCCAGTCTTGTTCAAGATAGCCTGCACGAGTCCAAGTTCTCTGTCATCAGTCTGCAAGCCCTCATTCTCGTTTGAGCAGGTTGCCATGAAAAGGCGCGCAGAATTGGCCCACAGCGGAGCGTTGAAAAGTCTCTTCACAGTGGGTTTTCGATGTTGTAAACCTCCAATCTCGTTTCTGTGTGGCCGCTGATGTCTGCTAGCTTTCCGTTGCCCATTCCACAATTCCTGGTGCACACAAATCCTTGCATCATCAGTCGAATCCGGAGCACCCGCTTCTGCACCAAGCGTCAACCCCGCAAGCACAGCAATCTTGAAACTTGACAACAACGATCATGCGTTGAACTGCTCAAAAGGCGCTGCGGAAATGTAGATCATGTATTCCCGAACGTACTAAACAAACTGCTTTGCCGCGGACTCGTTTCGCCCTAGCTCGCCCACCTTTTCCAGCGCCCGATCGGACTGCCACGGCTGCACGTGCGGCGCGAGCGGGTCCCGGCTGGGGGGCAGCACGAGGCGCAGCGCCCCGGTGCCCGGGTCGACCACCCCGAGCAAAACCTCCCCCGTCGACTGCAGCCCCACCCCGTCCAGAACTAGATCGTGGAACTTTTTCGCGTCCAGCGTCACGTGCACGTACCCGATCACGACGCCGCTCCCGACCGGGAAGATGATGGGCGCGCTGGCGGTCAGGACGAGCCCCCGGGACGAGTTCACCGGGAGCGAGAACGGGGTGACGTCATCAAGGATGGCGTCAGCGGCAGTGGCGTTGGACGTCCTGAGCAGGGCCGTGCGGTTGGCGTCGTAGATGACGATCGAGCGGACGTCCGGGAGGACCGACGCGGCGGTCCGTAAGTCGTTGACGCCCACCTGGGGCGGGGCGAAGCCATGTCGGAGGAAGAAGAAAGACTCCAGCTCCGTACAAACCTTATCGGATGGGTTCGATTGGCCCCTGTTTGCAAAAGGCCTTGAAGCTTGCGTTTTGCAGGTAAGCTCCAAACTGAGTGACCAAGACGACGAAGTGGGAGGCTGGTCCTTCACCCTCGCACTTCCTCCGGTACAACTTGACCTGCAAAGTGGAACAACGGAAAAGCATAGGTCGCGTCTTATCCAAGTATCAGGAAGCGGTCTGCCCATCGAGGAAGTTGCCCGCGCGTATCGGACGCTGACCTGGACGTCCGAGGAGCCGAGGGTATCCCCCGAGTTGTGCCGCAGGAGCAGCGCGTTTATAAGCACGCGCGTCGCGATGAGGTTTAGGTTGTCGGCTTCGCTGGCGAAGTAGTGCAGCACCTCCTGCTGACGCAGCGTGACGACCGTCGTCAGCCGCCGCTCGATCTCGCTGTCAATCACCTTCTGGCTGTTGAGCCTGCGGGAAAAAAGGAACAGCGGTGATCAAATTTCATTCTTTTGGAGAATGAGGGTCTGCTCCTTAGCGCCAGGAGAAATATCCGCCGACAATGGTGGCTGACGTAGCGGTGTGCTTTTGGGGTATTGCAAATGGAGAATGGAAAATGGGGTAGCTAGCACAAAAGCTGGGTAAATCACAAAGGGCCCTCGTCTAGGGCCTTTGATTTTAAAAGGGTGAAAGTAAGCAACAACAATAGTGCTTCTCAAGGGGAGGTTGAGTCCAGCAATAATTATCTTCCCATCACACAAGGAACCCTGCCGGAGTAGGGCGGTGGTATGCTGTTCTCAGGATGGCTTGGTTGCTTGGAACAGTCACCCTTCGGAGCGCCTACTAAGTGCCCCTTACAAGCGCCATCCAGCAGCGGCTGAGCTCTGTCGCTTGTCCTCTTTGAAAAGGTATCCATCTCACAGATGATTTCTTGGACCCAAGACACGCAACGTGAACCACCAATTCGGAAAGAAGAGCTCGATGTAACTCTCGCGAACCTGACAAAGTTTGAATGAACCCCACCCATCACCAATGGACCAGACCTCAAGGAGTGCAAAACATTGGTCCTCATGACACCCGTCGAACAGATGCTCCATAAAGGTCGCACCCGCTGATGGGCGGACGCGCTTGTGCACTCACCAGAGGACGAGCGCCATGGACCCGGACGAGACCACCACGAGCACCGCGACGAACAGCGTCAGCTGCAGCGCGATCGAGAACGGCACGCGCTTCTTCCGTTTCGTGCCCAGGTCCAGCGATACCCCCGGCGCGGCCGTCGACATCGCGCCTCCCCGCGTCCAGCTACGCCGAGCCCGGGTCCCGCGCTCCGACTCGGGTGCGCTCGCGCGCGGGCTGCGCGACTCCTGATGCCAGCTGCCGCGCGCTTGAGGATCATCGGAGGGGTGCTCTTCGTCGCTGGCCGGGGAGGCGGGTGTCTCGCGGGACAAACGGCTCGGGAAGAGAGCAAGCCGGGGGCGGGGCCGCACGGGGAAGGAGTGCGCTTCCGCGTCGGCACCGGAACGAGCGCCAGCTGGTTGCGCACTGCTCATTTCCTTCGGAGTTGTAGCTGAGGTCCTCTGACCTCTCCTAAGATTCGGCATCTCCAGCTGTACGTCCGTTTGCATAACAAAGGTCTGCCCGCTTTCCAGGTTGACAGACGGCTCCGTGGGACTTCCCGCGGAGTCTGCGGTAGCTTCTTCTAGGGCCATCGCGGGCAGTCAGCGGTCCTCCCCAACTATAGTGTGCAACCCTCGTCCGAGGACATTATCCACACCATCGGCAGGTATGTCCTTGTGGACGTTTGGGGCTTTCGAAAAGCAACTCAATGTTTTGGTACGGGCCCTGCTTCCCAGTTGTAGATTGGTATTCCTGGGCCTTGGACCTTACGAGTCTCACCCCGCTTTACTCACAAGGGCCGAAGTGCTCTGCAGGAGGCACAAGAAGACAGGCTTGCCCGTCAACCCGTCTTCAAGCTCTGATTCGATGTCTTTTCGTGAAGATGCGAAGATTGGTTTAAGAGGTGGTGAGTCTCATTGTCTCAGTTTTGCAAAGGCAGTGCAGCATCCTTTTGGTTTCGCCACAATGACTTCTGGCTTTGCTTTGTCTACGGCCCGGCTATGGAAGGACGCGCTGAGTCAGCCCAGGTGGCATTCTTCCAAGGTGCCTCCACACAGTGCCAAAGTGGACGATACCCCTGATTCTTAGGAATCAAACAAAAGCAGTGCCCATTTATAACGCGTTTGCAGCCCCGAAGTTAAGTCAACATGTTTATGTCTGAGACCGCGCAAGTGGGCAAGTAGCTTGCTCACCTTTACTGAAGGATTGAGTGTAAGGCAGAGCCTCTGTGCAAAAGCAACTCGGTTTCACACTGATGCCCCCATCCTTACTACGAAGTGGACGTCAGCAAAGACTCAATCTGCCGACTCGTTCTGCACGCTTGCATATGCGAATGTGTGGCTGCGTCCCATGCCTGTTTAAACCAACCACCGAAAACAGCTTAAACGTCTTTGATCAGTCTAACTGACCATTGGCCTGTATGAAGGAGGCTGCTCTGCTCTGCAGGCTGTAGGTTCAGGAACTGTGACGCTTCCTTGGACAGTATTCATGATCGATCCTATGAGGAAGATTGAGGGCCAGGAAGTCAACCTCGCCTTGCCTGGGAAGTTCTGCGAGGTAATCTTGGAAACCCCTAGACTGCGCCACAACTATATTGAAATGGATATCAGAATCTGAGAATCTGATACACTAGACTTTGATTCCCTTCCCAAGCTGATACTAGGTGTTCGCATCACTCTAGTTCGCAAGATCTTAAGCACCCAGATGCGCCAGGTTAATTCTTTAACTGAAACTGAAGGGGACTATCGCATCATCTGACATGGGCCAGGCTTCCTGGCCACTCATATTGCAGCCTCGTCGTAATCGGAGGATTGTCAGATGCAATGATCACTGAGCACGTGTCTTCAAGCTACCTCGATTAGCCCATTGAGCAGCTATCATTGCGTCAGCATGTCGCGAGACCATGGCTTACGGTAAAGCTGGCACTGATCCAGCATTGCTCTTGCTGATAAACTGGTAAAGTAGGCAGCTATGCTTTCAACCCGTGGCAACATATGGCCGCGGGGCGCCACCGGAAGCAAATCAGTTAGGCAGCGATGCGCGCGCGATTCAGAGGTAACCCGCAACCACTGCGGTACGGTACCCCGTTGCTGATGGGCTCTCCTCCGGACCCTTCGGTTGGCGCCTGCCTGCCGGCCGGCAGCTCTGAACTGTTCAGGCTCAGCTTTCATCGAAATGAACCGCCATTTTGCCCTTAACTTCGATATAAGGTAGGTACCGGTAACCGCAGTCCGGACCCACCGATGCCGTGACCAGTCCCGAGTTGGTACCAGAGTAACCAGACCTTGGAACCGTACGGTATTAAATAGCGGAAGTACCTACGGCCGCGGTACCGGGTATCATCACGTGCGATGGTACTTGGTACTCCCAGCACTTACCTACATACCTACCGTAGTATGTACCAACCGGGAGCGAGGTCGCCACGTGGACCAAGTTTACTGTACCACTTTCTGTGACCCCTTGGCTGCAAAACTGGTACCGTGTGAAGGCCAGTACGGTACCTAGGTACACATTAGCCTTAGGTCCACTTAGTGTACAGGAGTCTCTGAGTCTGAGGTGGCTAGGTCCAAGGCTCCAAGCTCGCATTTTCCCATTCTCAGGGAAGCATTGTTGATCTGACCCGCATTCAAGCTGTCTACCTGGCCTGGCCTGGATGAGCTGAGGACGCCGCCTCTCTCTGCTGGCGAGCGCTTGCAGCCCTCTAGTTGGGGCCAGAATATAGGTAGCTTCAACTCTTTGCATCCCACTGCTGAAGAAAGGAGTCCAATCAGACTGTTCCTGCTTTGGTGAGAGGCCCTTTTAAATGCTCCAAGAAACTGACTGACCTCTGAAGATGTCAAACGGAGCTGGTTGCTTACAGCGCTGAAGGGCACCTTGACTAGGATGAGAGGGTGATTCAATCAAGAGTCTGTCAAAACAATCAAAGGCGGGATCTCAGGCGAGGGTGGAAGCATGGCTGCTACAGACATGACAACTTCCCAGGTAATGTGCTCAGTCTTGTAGATCTGTTGGAAGTCTTCTGTAAGAATGCTCTTTCTTTTGTGTCGCAACCTCCCTGTGACTTTTTGGAGCTGATTAGACATGACATACGACATACGAAGGTCCCTGTGACTTTTTGGAGCTGATTAGACATGACATACAAGAGACGAGACAGACCAAGCGTTTGAGCTTCCATCTTACATGGTGTGCCTGGTGCCTGGTGCAAGCTGCAATGTGAATCTTATGCTACAGGTGCCAACCAATGATTGCAGCTTCTGAATCACAAGCTGCCAGAACCTTTCCAACATGGCTGATCATGCTTCGCTGCCTCCTTTTGTTTCTTGAGATCCTAGGGTTTGTGTTGAGGCAATTAATATCTTTGATGCACCGAGAGCTCTAGGAGTCTCAGCATTGCTATCTTGCTTGATTGCCATGCTTGGTATGCCCTCCATCAGCCCAATCATAGTGTCTCACCATTGCCCGTTCACAAATATAAACCCAGCATTCACTCACAATAGTCAACCAATCATGTAACACAATGTGCTCAATCCGTGCAGCTTGCTTTCCTTACGGGCCTGCTGTATGCCACCATAGCCTGGGTGTATGCAGAGTGGTTGGAATGGAAAGGGGACGGCAAGCGGGAGGTTAAAGCGGACGAGGAGTAAGCGATCCGCACCGTGTGTGACCCTTAAACTGTGGTTTCATGTGCTGGTTTCACCTCAGAACAGCAGGATGCAGCTTGCGAATCACTTCCCATCTGTCGAGCTTGCATCGGAGCTAATGTACTTGAAAGCTGATAGCAGCCATGTTTTTATTGCTTTCTGCAACAACCACTGATGGGATGCAGCTCGAAAAGGCTTTCTCTGCATCTGTTTCCCCGGGCTACGGGTCATCCTTCTTGCCGTTCTTCCTAGATTTCTCACTTCTCACGTCACTTGAACACCCAGTTTGAAGAGCCCTGAGTTGTGGCATTGCTTTCTGAGTCTAAATGTGTCCCCTGAGAGCCTTCTTCATGTACGATCACAGGAGCTTACCGCTACACACGACCAAGTCGCATGGGGGGGAGCATGACAGCTTGGTGAGCAAGGATGTGGTGCCGGCGTCCGCAGTAGAGATGGGCGCCACCGGACACTTGTACAGGTGGGGCATTCGAACCTAGCTGCATGGCGATGGGAATGACGGATGTGCTGAGGGAAGATGCTGCTTGCGCTGATTGTTTGCCCGGCAATGAGCTGAAGAGAGGGCGTGCTGTCGCCCACTCTTGGCATGTTGCTTGATAGGTGCTTGTATCCATCTCTGCAAGGAAACAGCGATGTGCATCTGATCAGATGACAAAGGGGGAGAATCAAGTTTAAGCACACATCAGCTACAGAAGGCTCCCTTCCACTGGTGCACAGCCTTCCAGAGTGCCGCACAGAAGAGGGGGAGCCGGTACTGTCTTGTCGCGGAGTTCGCACTTCCATCTCTACTCATTCTGTGCCTTTGACGTGGTTACAGAGAGTACAGGGAGACAGCTTGAATCCTCATGAGAGACGCTGCACACCACGGTATGCATTAATGCCCGCGACATTCCATTGCGCATGCAGATTTGCTACTCTCGATGGGGCATACCTGCTGGAGCATCGGCTCACTCTGCGCGCCATGTGAGTACTCCGCTTATAACGCTGTCCATTTGTCGTCCTTCTCGAACTATCTCAACCTTAATGACAACCTTATTGACCTTCGTTCGATTACGAATACCTGACCACCATACGCAGGTGCTGAAACCTTGAAATTGCCCCCTGTTATTACTGTATGACGCGAGACTCTCAGCGGGAAGCGACGTGCTGATGCCCATCCTTGTACCTGCAGTGTCGAGTTTGGTGGTCTGCTTGTCTACATGATGCTGTGCGACCGAACGAGCCTCTTCCCTGAAGCACAGCGGGTGAGACCCCTGCAGAATCATAACGCTTACACATCCCCTCGCTGATCTGCATCAGTTCGGACCAGGTCGTACATTTCACTTTATTGCATTCCGTGTCTTGTAATGACTTGCAAAACCTGCGGCCTTTGCCCACGGTGAGTGGGGGCAGGTAACATGGTGTTGATCAGGCAGAAGCACACTGCTGGGAAGAGCAGCGGAAATGCAGGACGATAGCGGACTTCTCCTGTGGGGTCACATGCTCCAAGGCCTTTGATCCATTGCACCCTTGAATGCACGAGCAGTCAGTGAGTAGTTGGAACTTCTTCGAACCCCTTGTCATTTGAAACGCAAGAACCTCAAAAGGCATCCCTTTTGGTCTTTCCTCTGACGCTGCTGCGCGGGTGCCCAGTCGTACAGCCGGGACCTGTTCATGTTCATCTACCTACTCCTCTGCCTGGCGGCGGCCTTCACGTCCCTCAAGAAGCACGCGGGCAGCAGCCCCAGCGTGGACTACTTGAACCGCCACCAGACCGAGGAGTGGAAGGGCTGGATGCAGGTGGGCCGTTCTTAGTCTTGACAGATGCCAGATTATGTCGACCAGGGAAGGATCGAATAGCGCATGTGTATGCTGCAGGGGCAGCGAAACTGGGGGATCCCTGGTGTCTTGGCCTTCGATTTCTGGTGGGGTTGGTTGGGTTACCAAGCTGTAGACATTCCAACAGCTGTTCACTGAGTCAAAAGAGGAGGAGACACGCATGTCCGAGTTTCAGATCAGTGCCCACAGGGGCTGCCGTTCTTAGATCAGCGGGTCCACTGATTGACTGGAATGATTGCCATCAACGGTCGAGGCAGCTTGGGATGATACAATGAGGCAGGTGCAGATGGAAAGGTGGAAGTTGAAGACCTTCTTCCTCGGCCCTTTGTCATCAAGCACACGTTCTGCAATAACTGGCGACCTTAAGTCATGGATGGAAGCATCACCGACATCTGTGAAAGATACCACGGCGTGAAGCGAGCCAACTCTTGTCGCTGAGGAGGTAATTCCGAACAGCGATTCAGTACCGCATCTCACTCCTCCAAAGGTCTACTTTCAGTTGAACCCTTGCGCCTCCCTCACTTTGTCGTGCAGATCTTGTTTCTGCTTTACCACTACTTCGTGGCCAAGGAGATGTACAACGCGATCCGCGTGTTCATCGCGGCGTATGTCTGGATGACCGGCTTTGGCAACTTTTCGTACTACTACGTGCGCAAGGACTTCAGCATCGGCCGCTTCTGCCAGGTCAGTCAGCATCTGATTGCAGCATATGAGGCAAAGGACACGGTTGTCCAAATCTAATCACTCGAACGGTTGTTGCCTCCGTTGATATCCTGTTAGACAGCCCCAGCCAACAAACAAAACGAGACTGACAGCTGCCTCGTTTCAGTTCGGGGCATCAACAGCTTGTGTACGAACGCGAATATGCTCACTCATGTGGCTCGGTAAGTCGAGCGGTAGCCGTTGCAGCAACCGTAGTTGTAACTCTTTGGGGATAAGGTGGTGAAGTCAGGCCAGAAAAAAGATGGAGAAAGCAGAACGGTACTATGGCTGGCTTGTGCATAGCCAGTCGGACAGAGGAGGACAGGAGCTCCTCGCAACAAAAGAGAGGCAAATAATGTCAGCAACTTAATGTCAAGCATCCCACACTGTCTTCCTGGTTTTTGGAAGGTTGGAAAACTTCGTAGGTTGAAGCTCTTAATCATTCACCCGGATCAGCACAAGGCTTGCAATTGGAGAAATCTGGGGACTCGGGACTCGTGCGCCCTCGATTCCGCGGTACTTCAAAGCGGGTGGGGGTTCATCGAAACGTGAGTGATCACGTCAACCGTCACTCTCCTAACGACCCCTGGCTACTCCTGTGCGCGCAGATGATGTGGCGGCTCAACTTCCTGGTCTTCTTCTGCTGCGTGACGTTGAACAACGACTACATGCTGTACTACATCTGCCCCATGCACACGCTCTTCACGCTCATGGTCTTCGGCATCTGCGCCATCGGGGCAAAGTACAACGAGAACAACCTCGTAATCTACCTCAAATTTGCAGGTAGGGCTCGCTCCCTTCGCAATTCAGAGACATTTCCGCATGATCTGAATTCCGTTTATTACACACTGGAGGCGTAGCAGTAGCTGTATTTCTCGGTCTTCTCACTGGTCCCGTTCCGGCAACGCACTTGGTCGAACTCTGAGACTTGCCAAATGAATTCCCGTTCCTCGGGAAGAATCTGAATCGAGGCTGGCCAGCATTACTTGGCGGCTAGCCGCTTGTTGGTTGAGAAAGACTGTCGCATACGAGCACGTCTTTGTCCCCAGAAAGGGGTTCGTTTACAGTGCTGATTCTGGTTCCTGGTATCCGCACGTGAGCTCCGCTTCGATCAACAATATCAGCGCGAGATTCTGCAGGGCCGTGCAAGATGTTACTCCCAACCGAATGGATTCTCCCTCAGACCACTCTCTCAGAATCATCCGCTCCCCCTGTGCAGTGGCGGTCGCCGTCGTAATCGGTGTGTGGGAGATCCCCGGCATGTTCGACCTGCTTTGGAGCCCCTTCACGTTCCTGGTCGCATACAACGACCCGCGTCGCCCTAGTGATGACATCATGCACGAGTGGCGCTTCCGCTCCGGCCTGGACCGCTACATCTGGATCATCGGCATGATGTATGCCTTCGGACACCCCGTGGTAAGGGCGCGATTCTGGAGTGGTAGGATTTAAGAGCCTGGAGGTTGAGGACTAGAGTGGGCGATTTGCCTGTGCGTTATCTGTATTTCCGCAGTTGCTACGATTAGTGGGAAAGTGGGGTGTTTTCTGCCTAGCATGGCCGTTTGTTTCTTGACTGCGAAGCCGATTGACGTGAAACATACTACACGGCAGAGAAAATGCTGCTTCAGAAGCTAGAATGTCCACGCCGTACGATCAGCATTTCACTGCTCTCTGGGAAAGCGAAGCCTTTCTGTTGGCGGAGTGCTGGCTTGAGTAGCTCAAGAGTGTCTGAGACAAGCCGTACTGCGGGTATTTTTAAGTTGTTAGTGACTTTGTCGACTGGGCAGAGCATGTGGTCCGCAGCGGGCATGCTTTGAGGTTGTCGACGTTGCGTTCCGTGGGTTGCGAGTCAGCACCGGCGGAGCTCAAGCCTGGTCCCCTCTCCTGAGAAACACGTTCCGCTGTTTCGCCCTGCCAGCAGTCTTCTTTCCACTCAGCAGGATCGAGGGCAAGCTGCAAGAAGCAATTGACGAGCTGCAACGCGCCGGTTCGTTCTCAGGAGAGAATGTTTCGGCGATCCATGCTCAGCTGTATGCCTGACGGGTGCGGCGTGTTGGTGCGCAGGTGGAGCGGTGGCTGGAGCGATTAGAAGACCTCAAGAGCACCACCCGCCAAACAGTGCGGGCCGGCCTCACGATATCAGCTCTTGCGGTGAGCGATCACGGTTTCGATTCTCCTTAGGACATTCCCACCACTTGTGCTGCTATATGAAACTAAAACCTGGTTGTGATGACAGCGTATTTGAGGGTTTGAGTTCAATTCAAGTCGCACTTGCTCTAAGTAGTTCATCTTTCAGTACGCCGCACTACCAAAGAGTCGCACCTTGCTTGGAACGCTCTCTCAACAAGCTCCTCGTGTCTAGTCGCTTCCAGGCTCCAGAATCGCCGGAGACATTTCTTACCTCGTGCTTCCAAACATTGCCTGTTTGCAGCCACACCTAACACCCCACCAATTCACTGAATCCTTCAACCGAAAAACCTTTCTTCAACCTTTGACATATGGAAGTGCAAGTGCTCTTCTCCTCCAAATTGTTTGCGGCTTGTCACAGTCACCCTGCCTGACTCGCCTTCTAATACAGATTCCCTGGATCTTAAAACCTCTGGCTTGCTGGTCCGCAGGTCGGATACTACTGGTACGTCGCGTTCTATTCTTTGGGCAAGCTGGAGTACAACAAGGTCCACCCTTACACCTCCTGGATTCCCATCACGTAAGTACGGCGCACACCCTCCGAAATTCTTCGGCCTTGCACCATCTTTTGCTTGAAAGACACCTGTCCAGATGTTCCTACCGTCTATTCAGTGATTCGACGCATTTCCCGGAGGCTTAGGCTTCGCATCATTCTTGGGTTACAAGACGCCGAAGCAGATGGCGTTCAATCTATGTTCGGTGGACTGGCTCGCGCCGTCACTTATTTCGTATGGTGCATTCATACGAGCATGGGAGCAATCCGCGGACACCCTTGGCATGACGAGGGTTTCCAATCGTATCTTGATCGTTTGGCCGGTCCTAGTAAGCCTGAGACTCCGACCGTAGGTAGTGTCCAGATGCCACACCGCGGTTTGATCGGTTTAGTACTTTGGGCGCTGCCCTCGGTCTGCCTCCCAGCTCGGATCTAGTGCGTTTTTGTCTTGCTATCATAAATAGCTGGGCTTGCAGACATTTTAGGGCTCAGCTAATAGCCACTTTGCCTGCCTGAATGCGTTTCGCCGCAGATAAAGTCTTGTCGGAAACGTTCAGCTTTTCCAAACCACGTTTTGCTTTTGGCAATGCAGAGTGTACATAGTCCTGCGCAACCTGCACCCGACGCTGCGCCACTGGAGCATGACGCTGTTTGCATGGTGCGGCAAGATCACGCTCGAGACCTACATTTGCCAGTTCCACATCTGGCTGCGGTGAGGGGCCCATTCGCGCGCCACATCTCAATTCTGATGTTTCTCAGCACGCTCAGCACGAGAGTTGACGCAGCTTACGTCCGTCTTGTGAAAGAGGAAAGCGATTGGGAAAGAAGCCGGATGACCAAGGGCGTATGGTTCTTGAGCCAACGCTCAGGTTAGCCAATCATGCGTTCATACGTTAAGGAAACACTCCTGTCCAGACGACTGGAGATTATGGATCGTGCGCGCACAAAGTTGGCGCCCAATCGCCCGCCATTCGCCTTTATCGGCAGTCCCAGTTCCCATTCGGTTTGCTGCTTACTTCGACGCGATGATTCGATTGATCCCATTTGCCGGATCGAATCTCCTTCCAGTTCCCCCTGATGCGGCAGCCGTGCTTACCGGATCGTTTGACCACCAGCTTTCGAATCGGGAGTTTAATTGATGGGCACGCTCTCCGGTCGACGCCCGACGCCCTGTGAGACAAATACTGGAGGGTGAAGAGCTGCGGCGTTGCTGCTGGAGTCGTCGATCTCATTGTCTGGCAGCGGCTGGAAGAAGCGCGCACACCCCGTTGGTGGCTGACGCTACTGCGCGCGTTGCAATTGCAGGACGAGCATTCCCAATGGGCAGCCGGTGGCCATCCTGTCGCTGCTGCCGGAGGAGTACCCGCTCCTCAACTTCCTCTTCGTGTCCGCCATCTACATCTTCGTGAGAGCCCAACTCTTATGCCTTCATTCTCCAAGACTTCTTTCCCAAAACTGAACGTAGGAGTCACATTCGCGGGGTAGGAGAAACCCTTAAGGGGCTCAAGTTGGCTCGTCTCTAGTGGGGTTCTTGTAGATACGAAGTGTGTGCACTTGCGAGCAACAAGGCTTGGCGACCAGAGTCGCCGAGCAAGCAGCACAAGATGGGTCAGTTGTATTACGTCTGTCTCTTTCAGCAGACTGCGCGGCTGGATAGTGCTTGTGCAGAGACCATCCTGTAATATAGTAGTGAGGAGGCTCATGGCCCGTTATGGGTGTTTACACGCCTGCTCTTCGCTGATTCCGGCTCTCAATCTTGCTGCAGGTATCGAACCGGTTGTTCCATCTGGTAAACACGTTAAAGACTGCGTTCGTCCCCGCCAAGAACAATGCGGTTCTGGCACAGACAGGGATAGGAATGCTCATATCGGGGATTGTTCTATACGGGCTCACCTTCGTCTTCATCAAGTTGCCCTTGAGCCTGTAGACGGGGTTGCGGACGGCATTCTAATCAGCAGATTCATAGGTCAAGCTTTATCTGTCAAATGGAAGTTTGACGACACGGAAAGTAAGCAACGGTGGGTGTATAGTACACAGGTTGATTGCGTGATGGCGCCTTTATTTATGAAGCGCACTGGTTGCCTGAACCAGTCAAACAAAAAGGAACAGCTCTTTCAGTACCAAGCATTATGATGACCCGCATTACAGATATGGCGTTCGCATCCATAAAACATTCGTGCATCACTGTTAGTTCTCGATTTCTTTGCTGAATTGCTGCTGCGTTATGTGCTAAAAGCCGGCCGGAAGGTCCGGCCCCGTGTGTTTGCTATGGTATCATGTGTCTCGAGACTACATACCATATCCATACCATATTTACACACCATACCTTTCATGATCATGAAAAATCTTATGATGGAATATCTCGCTGGGCTGGGCGGCGGCCGCGCTTGTCACGGCCTTGCCAGTGTGCCGAGACGTTCTTCCTCTAGATCGCGCACTTTTCCGACCAGTACGTAGTGAGCTGCAATCTCCTTCCAAAACAGATCGACGCGTCGTCTGGTGCAACGATTTTTGGCTCGATCTATGATCTTAAAACATACGCATGCTTTAGCCCGTTGCTAGTCATGGACCCATGTAAGGGACTAGGCAGCCTCAGTTTCCAATTTAAGTACACCGTCTGTGCTGCCAAGATGGTCCTGCGGTCAGTATTCTGGCTTTTCAACGGCTTCCGCACAGCTTCATGTATGATGTACGTAGGATGTTGGGCAGGAGACTATAATCAAGTGAAAGCATGCCATGTGGAACTTCGGAAAATGACAGGTCTATCTCATAAGCTTAGCTTGTGTCGTCGTTTGACTTCGAACCTTTAACAGGGTTGCTTCTAGCAGGGCTCGCAAAACCCTAAGTACATAATAAATCATGTACCCATACCGGTAAAACGGTCGGCTGTGTAATGAAACCATTTGGACGGTTCGATCACGGCTGCCTCGACTTCAAACTCTTACAGGCGGCCATGGACGCGGCTTGCAACGTTTACAAGATATCAACACCAAGACGTACAACAGCTAAGGCCTGCACGGTTACCGTGTGCCGTGTACTTGAGATGAAACCTAGCTTCGGACTCATCATTCCTATGAACTCGGCACAAGCACACGTACGGACTGACGACTTCCTTATGCCAATGATCCTCCGTATCGGCGCTCCCGCGCGGCTACACGCCCGTGAGTGCCTCGCTCTCGATAGCAGCCTCTAGCTCGCGTCTCCGCCGGTCCGCGAGCCGCGCCTCGACGCGCGGCCGCACCGTCTCCGCCAGCCGCGCCACGCTCTCGGCTTTGCTCTCGATCTGATCGAACGGCTGGAAGCCGTCGTTGCGCTCGGAGCCGAACTTGTCCGTGTCGGAGATGCGGTGCAGCGGGCGCCAGTAGTGGTTCACGCGCGCGTCTAGCAGGCTCAGCGGCTGCACCGCGTACTCCAGCGGACCCTCTGCACCGGAACCGGAAGTCAGTGGAATTAAGGATTCAGCGGAATTTGGGGTGTGCTAGTTTGAACGAGCATAGACACTGTCGATTGGAACGCCTCCGACAGGCAAACGAAGGAACCGGCGCCTTTAGTGGCACCCGAGGATCAATCGGATACTCCGTGAGAAGTATCCAAAACGGACGAGACCTGCAGATGAGAGCTTGTGAAAGGGTTTGGTTCTGCTCGCAAGTGGCACCGGCTTCCTTCCAGTTTGGGCCCCAGAAGGCAATCCGCTTGGCCCAGAATTTGTGACACGTTGTGTAGAAATCTGCTCGCACTAGTGATCTGGAGGAAACATATAACAGCGAGGATGGTCCCACTTCCATTCCAACGGTCACACGTCACGGGGCTTCCACACGCCAGAGAGCGAGAGCCCAGAGATGTTTTTACGTTGACTACGGCTATGTTGAGTTAGGTCACTGTCCGGCGAACGGTCGGGGTTGGCTTGGGGTTAAGGGTTGCATACGAGTGCGGAGGATCTTAACCTTTGGGTTTAAGATTTTCTTGTCTTCAAGCCCGGGAGACTGATCTGACTCAACTGAGACCTGAATCGATCAACGCAATTGAAAAATCGGGAGGCCCTTTCTCACCCGACTCCTCGAGCACGTCCACGTAGTGCACGCCGTTGGCGACCACCTTCTCGGGCCGCATGAACGTCTTGTCGCCGTGCTCGTGCTTGCGGCTGTGCCGCACGTACTTCTGCACCAGCGTCAGCCCCGCCTCCTCCACCTGCGCGCGCGCACCCGCTACGTCACTCCGCGGCTGACCCCGCGGTTAAGCGAACTACCGTCAACCAGTCTCCTTCACTTGAATGTCCAGCAAGAGGTGTGGTCTGAGGGCACTCTTTCGATTTTGCGTAAGGCGCGAAAGTAAAATCCAATTGCGCTTGCGAAGTTTCAGCAACAGGAAGAACTAGGTCATGGGCAGATTTTAAAGATGCAGAGGAAGAGTGTTGAATATACTCCCAAGCAAAGATTCCGAACGGCCTGTTATCAAGGGCCTTCTGGGATTATCAGCGTGCGCCTTATCGGGTGAAAATGCCCCCAGAATGCTCGAAACGCATCAGCGCGAAACACTTCGTGGAACATTTGACCAAGGCCTGGAAATGCATCGCTACCGCCGACAGACATTCTCCAGCGCGCGCACCTGGGGCGCGACGAGGTAGCGGATGCGCTTGACGCGCAGCGCGGCCCAGTGGTCGGGGAAGTTGGCGAGCATGGCGCGCGCGCTGTAGCTGAAACGGCTGCTGATCTGGACGTACTCGTCCAGGTCCACGAACATGAGCCAGCGGCTGCGGTGCCGGTTGCGCAGCAAACAGTCCACGTTCAGCACCGTCTGGTCGTAGTATCTGCGAAGCAACGAATCGGTGAATGCATAAGAGATTGGAAATCACTGTTTTGAGATGGAAATATATAGTTCAAGATGTAGCAGCGTCGGGTCGTTGTACCGGCGCGCAAGGCTTAGGTAAGTGCTTGGCGCTTTTGGAGGATGAAGGGAGGGCGTCTACGCAACGTCATTATCCGATTTTAGCAGGGCCTAGTGCTCGGGGCACAAACCGTGAAACCAACTTTTCGGCGACAGGATAGCCGAAAGCCGTGCCTCGAGGTCGCTACGTGACGTCAGGCGTTCCGGGTCCCAGGACGCCCACTTCAAGGTAATCAAGGTTTTCAGATACTGTACCGTCTGGTCGTCGTACTATATCTGCGCGCGGGTTTGGGAGTGCATGGGGTTCGGAGGACTATGGCTTCGAAAACAATTGGTCAAGCTTCGCAGAACGTCTTGTCAAACTAAAACTGCGTACGAACCTTTAAGTTGGCGGAATTGGAGGCCGATCACTCCTCTGCGCGAACCTCCTGTAAGAACCAGGTTCCCCGCCTTGATCCAAGCAATGAGTGCCAACGGCAATATGCAGAGGAGACAGAAAAGAAGGCCACCGACTGTGCGATCCTTGGAAATCACCAAGAGGAGTGAACATCCCGGCAGGTTGCGCTTCAGTATCGCGACAACCACGACAACCACGACAACCCTTTTCCTCATACAGCCCCCCTCACTTGTGCGCCTTGTCCAGGACGTCCGGCGTTGTGCCGATGCAACTGAAGCAGGGCCGCCGGCTGGAAAATTTTTGCAGGTCATAAGTGGAAATCGAGGTCCAGCAGAACGTTCTTCTAAACCCACTGAAAACCGAAGTCCGTTTTCAAAATGCTTCATGAGCTCTCGAAAAGCTGAGAAGTCGACGGTCCTCACTTGTGCGCCTTTTCGAGGACGTCCGGCGGCGCGGTGGGTTGCCAGTGGCGGAAGGTGAGCGTGCCGTCGTCGATGTACGGCTGCAGCGCCGCGCGCGCGCCGGGGTCGTGCGCGTACACGATCAGGTGGTCCAGCCCCGTCACGCCGCGGTGGTACTCGATCCACTCCACCCACGGCCGCTCGTCGACAGCGCCGAAAATGGGGCCCATGCACCCAGTCAGGAAGCGGTCCGTCTCGCCGGGCCTTGTGTCGAGCGTCGCCGGATCGAGCACCAGGCGCATGTCGAGCGTCGGGGGGGGGGGCGCCGTCGCCTCCCGCGGGACCGATGCGGAGCTGCGTGGCGATCATGTGGTCTCCCCCCATGGATTCCAGAAACGTCCCCAGTTCGGGGGGCAGCTTGCACTCGAGGAACATCGAGTACGCCGCGTTCACGTGCCCGCTGCGCGTCGCGATCGCGTCGTAGTTCACGCGCACCACCGCCGGGACGTCGAACTCGCCCGTCACCGGCAACACGCTCGCGTCGCGCGGGGCGCTCTCTGCGTCTGGGGCCGGCGGCGTCCGGCGCGCGTCCCCCGTTCGTTTCGTCAGCCGCTCCGCGTTCTGGCGGTCCCCGCCCCACCACACCCCTCCCACGCTCACCCGCCCCTCCGCCGCGTTCTTGTTCCACTGTGCGTGGTGCAGCGATGCTGCCCCCGCGCCGCTCCCCCGCCCCTCCCGCGCACCGAGCAGGCTCCGTGCTGCGCCCTCCTCTCTGAAGCCTGCCGTTTCGGTAGCGCCCAAGTCCGACAGACTCGACTTTTCATCCTCGCGCGCGTCTTGCTCTTCTGTTCCTAGCAGAGCTCTCGCGCCCGCCTGCGTCGTAGGGCTTGCTTTGGCCGCCTTACCGAGCCCCCAGCCCGAGAGGAGGTCGCTCAAGCCCCCAAACGGGACCTGGTCGGGAGGTGCTGCCGGAGGGGGAGCGCGCTCTTTGACGAATCCCTGGAAGTGGCACGTGACCTGCAGGTCCGTCGCCTTGATGCTGTTGCCGCCCTGCGAGCCCCACCAAATCTTGGGGGAGGGGTCCTGCGTGAACGACAAAAACCTGCGGCCAAGACAGGAAGTCTTAGCGCTGCCCTCCGGGCAAGTGCCATCCATTCATTCGTTCCGACTCAAACCCTTGGTGCAGGGAATGCCTTTAAGAGTGACAGTCGGGCTTTGCAGGCGACTCCCACAAGTGCGGGCTAACTGAAAGCTCTTTTAGAGGGACACTCGATCATGCAGTTCTTAGTCATGCAGCAGCAGTCACACTTTTACTGCAGCCACTTGTAACTTCCGGTTCCACACAGTCTAGGCCGAGAGAGCGTGTCGGCACCGCCAAAGTGCCCACAGGTTGGTGCGCCTTGGATCTCGTTCGCTTAGAGCCGTTTCGCTCTCGGTCCAACCAGCCAACTGCTTAAGTCCTGGATCCGAGATCGGCAGCAAGCTTCTCTCAGTTCGGATGTTTGGGAGTTCATTAAGGTTAGGCAAGCGCTCAGACTGCTAAAGCAGTCGCCCCGCCCCGTTCTTCCTCACCCTCACCTGAGCACCCACTCCCCTTTGGTGCGCACCGCCGCAACTCGATACACAAACAGGTCCACCCCCAGCGTCGGTACCGCCACTTTCAAATGCGACGGCCCCAGATCGTCCAGCGTCTCGGCAATCGCCAAGCCCCGCTCTGCCGCCTTTCCCGGCTCCTCCGCTCGCTCGTTGCCGTCCGCAGACGCGTTTGCACTGGACGACGCACCTCGCCGTCTGTGTGCCGCTATAACAGGGGCCAAGAGTGCATCCGGGAAGAGCGGCAGCGGGCGCGGCTCGGGGCGTAAGCGCCGCTTGGCCGCCTGCACCACTAAATTGGGGTCGACCCCCTGGGGCATTGTTTCCTGCTCTGTCAAAGCGGCCTTCTCCTCGTCCAATATTTTGTTCTCTTCTGAGTGCTCATCAGCAGAATCAATCTCGCCAATGTCCTGATCCTCCTGCTCTGATTGTGCGTCCTCCCCAAACACGTTCAGGCCCGCCCGCGCCAGCCTGGCCCCGCGCGGCTTCACCACGCTGGCCGCTCTCACTGTCACCGTCTTCTCCAAGGGGTCCTCTTTTCTCTCATGAGAATCTATGTTTAACCCCAGCTGCGCTTGACTGTGCATTGAGCCGTGCATGATTTCTTTCTGGGGGTTCACTTCCCTAGCTGCTGCAGCCCCCCGCTCCATGCCGTCCAGCAGGCCCAGCTGCGCGGGGTCGTGCATCCGGAAGAAGCCCCTCCGGTTCCCGTCAGCGTCTTGGCGGTGCTCGCGCGATATATAGGCCGCCATGTGCTGTCGGCTGCGCAGCGACTGGGTGCGCTCCCCCCCCTCAAGCAGCGCCCACTGGTGGGACCCTTCCAGGGGGTGCGCAGACCTGTCTTCTGAACCCCCCGCCGAGCTCTCAGCTCCTGTCCGCTCCCATGTTTCTTTCGCACCCTCCAAACTCTTGAGACTGCTTTCCTCGAGAGCCACTGGAAGCTCGCTGACGCCCGCACATGTAGGGCTGTCACCGGATGCTGGCTGCTGCACACAGCGGCTGTCTCCTCCCACCGCTGGCCACTGCAAAGAGAAGAGGCTGGGCCTGAGGCACCCTTGGTACAGGCAGCAAACGTGACTTGAACTTAACAACAGCGTTTGATGTAGGTGAAGAAGAGGGATGATCAGGAGCCATTGAGCTTCTCATGTGAAATGAGCAATGGATGCATTTTTGGTGGAAAATCATCGAGTGGTGCGAGAGGGTTGACTTCACGGCAACATTCAAAATGACTCCTTAAGTTTAAAGTGTCTATTGCAACTTCATTGATGCTGCCAATTGTCGTATGCCCCTCCCAGGTTTCTGCAACCACAGCGGGAACGCGTGTTCTCTTGCTGTCAGACCAATGCCGTCAGGTGCAAACCTCACCTCTGTGCTTTCCCGCCAGCTGTGGCCTCCTCTGTGCACATCCCTTCGCTGAAGCTCCCCCTCCAGCTGCGCTGTGCACAGAGTCGCTGCCGCAACTAGAATGAGCAGCAGCACTCTGAGCAGGGCACTCCTACCGAAGCAGTGGAAGGAGGGGCGTGGCATCCTGGACAGATGCACAGCCCCCAAACTTGGATTTCCTTTCATGAGAGCTGCCAAACTCCGAGCGGCCAAGCAGGTGGCTGCCCTGTCCAGCTGTCTGTGTTCACCTCCATGCAGCGATGTCCGGCAGAGGGGGGGCCCCGCCCAAAGTGCAACAAGGCATCGTTGTGCTCAAGCTTGGCCTGTCCTGGGAGAAAGCACACACTCCCAGCAAGAAAGCCTGTGCCACCTCAACAAGATTCACAACCCAGTTTGCCTTTCAAAAGCGAGGTCACTTTTCATGCCCGGGACTATTGGAGCTCTTGCAAGGGGTATCTAGGAACCCACATCTGCTTGCAAGGTTGTTCTTGGACCAGCTACATCAGGAGGTCGAAGTCGCCAATATTGTTGCTAGCTGTACCGATCAAAAGTACCCGACGATTTAAAAGTAGCCGTCGATCGTCATCTTTATGCTATCGAAACCGTCCATTGTAGTCTACGCGCGCAGCAGCATTTCATAGGGCCGTCCTCGTTTCTGACGGAACTCAGTTTGATAGGTAACCTAATTGAGGATCGGCATGCATACGCCAGTGACGGTCGGATGGCCAGTATGTAGCACAAGCCGGCTGAATCTGAAAGTACCGGTTTGCTAGGGCCCCATTGCCGGATAAGTACGGCCAGTGTATCTACTGCTCTAGATCTGCAAAAGATGGTCCATCAAAATCTGAGTCTGCTCGTATGATCAGGCTCATGAGTGCTTCCGCAAGCCACAATGACACTGTGAGTCACATGCTCCGTCCTTCACCATTGCGAGTTCCCTGAAAGTCCACAGCAAGACAGGCAAACGTCACAAGACTAAACAAGTGCCGCGTTGGACTGTCTGGCTCCCCATTCTTGTTCAGATGCAAGAATGTGAGTCTTAGCATGCACAATAGCAGGGGATAGTCCAGCAGGACGCTCATGCCTCACTGAGTCTCTCGTCCATTTCTGCACGTCGTAAACACACCCCGCGGCGCGGCATGGCTGCTGTGAGCAGCATGGGGACGCGGCGCGTGCCGGGCGCACTCCCTCGCAACGTGGAGCGCCACTTCACGGTGCCCGGTATGCTGGAGGAGCGGACCGCCACGCTGCGCATGACAGAAGGGGGATCCCTCGAGGGCTTCCAGTCGCGGCTGGGCCTGGCAGACGGGCCGGCTTCTCCGGAGGCGACGGAATTGGGGGGATCCCTCAACCGGGGCACGTACAAGACCACGAACTCGGTATATGGGGAGACGTGGCGGGCGGGGAGTGGAGGAGCAGCGGAGATGGCGCCGCAGGTGAGCCTTAACAGGTGGACGGACTGATGGCAAAGTCAAGGAACCGTAACATGCAATGCGAGCAGTAAAGTCGGGGCTTGTTGCGAGATTGCGAGATGTCATGGAAAGTGCCCCGATGACAAGGTCGGGTAATGCTTGCTCACGGTGCTTGGTTTGCAGCATCCGCAGTTGCAACAGCTTAGTCTCAGAGGAGTCCAGACAAAACGATGACGATGGCAAATTCCGTTGACATACACAGTCACCACTTAAAAGCTCTTGACATTCACATCCTTGCATATTGAACGTAAATAGCGTCAGATTTTCCACGCTCGTCCATGCAACCAATATCCAATCAGGGCACAAAGCTGTTTCCAGGGGCGCAACTCCTGAGGTCTCGTTTCACCTTGACAGACAATGTCTTTGGCAACCAGGCCAGGAGAGATTGTAGCAGCAGATCAAGGCACAGACGCGAATGATGGCAGGAGCATTGGCAAGCGACTCGTTGCGGACAAACAGTCGTGCTTTCTGCATCAGAGCTGCCCATCCAAGACGAAGCACTGCTGGCCAACGTGAGAAGCCCGCATCTGGCTCAGGAACAAGAGTTCATCCCACCCAACCAACTTGCTGAAGTATCTTTTCTGCAGAGCGGCAAGGAGAACCTGGCTGGCGCCACCATTGGCCGCCCCATCACGGGGCGGGACGCCATCGAGCTCCCCCCCTCCAAGTACCCCCCCCCAACCTCGTTCCCTGCCTTCCCCAACAGCCCCACGAAGGCCCTGTCCGGCCAACTGTCACCGCAGGCCAGCAATGCGGGCAGGCCCGCGCAGCAGGGGCACACGACGCAGGGCAGCACGGACAAGGCCTCCAAGCGCTACGCACAGGTGGGCAGCGGGGGAGGTGCTCTTAATTGTTGCGGGACAGCTGGCCTTAACGACGGCTGCCCTGCATCTCTCATAGTCGCTCGACAAGAGTCGGACAGCTGCCCACTCAATTTCTGGATGGCCATTGACGTCTGAGGAATGCCGTGATCTACACCGGCACTTGTGAAACGGCAGGCACTCAAAGCTCACCTTGACTGGACTCTGTGTGAATCCAGAATCTTCGTGCGTTCTGAACGGAGTTGCGGCCTCCGGTAGGCAATCCTGTCTTTGCTTCTTTGGCGCAATTCTGTCATCCGACTCGAGTGCGCCAGCTGGCCGGGAGCCTGCCTGTGTGCGGCAGGTTAACTCAACGCTGACGGTGACGTGTGTGGTGCAGCCGCCTGTGCGCGAGTGGGAGGCGGCCCTGGAGCAGACGCTGGACGGGCTGGCGCCGCCGACGCGGTGCAACGGCTACGGCCAGGCACTCTCCAACAGAGCCAAGGTGGGCCCGCCAGGGATCCCTCGCTCCTGTACATCCCCCTGCTTCACCCGGATGCAATTTTTACACGGAACAGAAGTCGAGCGCTTCCATCGCGCAGTTTGAACATGAGTCTGCAAGTGTCGAGACAGAGACTTGGATGTGGATTATCAGGTCGCGCGATCGGAGGTGCTTGGTGACGAGCGATTGAGGCCTGCAGCATTGTAGCCTGGGCGAAAGGTCCGGATGGTGCAAAAAGTGCGACGCTCATGAGGAGATGGTTTGTCGTGTCAGCGGATGCTTTTCTGTCCCACCGTTTACTTTGGTTAAGGCTAGAAGTACAATCAAGGTGGTCCATATGTTTCCCTATCAGACCCGTTTCTCTTTCGGCCCTTCAGCTGGCCCAGCCTGCCATCCGCGGCGCTGGTTCCGCGGCGGAGCCGGCTCCCACCGGCACGTTCCGCGTGAAGAAGATCGTGGAGGAGGGCTGCAACCCTGGCGCGAGCGTGGAGCACGCCGCGTATGCGCAGCCGCAGGCGCCACGCGGGGACGGCACCTACCACGGCAGCCACACCGGGTACACCTCCGGTGAGGGGGCAGGAACGACACAACTCGAATGACGTAACCACTGTTGCTCTTTTATTTCGAGAGCTCAAAGAGTGCGCTCAGCACCTTCTTATATTGGAGTCGCAGTGAGAGATGTTCGATGAATTTCCGGGACCGATTGACCGAGGGCGCCAGGTGTTGCTCGTTAGCTGATGCGGGGCCCACTTCCTGGCCGGGCAGACCTTGAATCTTTCACCCGAAGCATATCTCAGCTAGGTAGAGCGTGCCTTGCGAGGTGCATGCTTAGTGACCGCAGGAAGTTCCTCAGCAAAGCTTCAAGGCGGGTCTTTGACAACGACATGTCTAGCGAAAGATCGGCAAAACCCCGTCGCTGTTTGCGAGTGGCTGCCGGTTCCCACGATCACAGCAAAGGGCGACGCGCGCTCGTCCGCGTCCCGTGCGCCGCCTCTCTGCTGAGCCTGCCGATCTGATGTTGTTTGCGCGGCGTGTCTTCGTCCAGGTTACGCGCGCAACAACCCGGCACGGAACGTGATCCCCACCGCTGCCGACGCGGCCGCCCAGAGCGCCGTCACAATTGAAGACGTGCACCCCTCAGTTGGTACGGCTCGAACGGCCTTGCCAACCTGCTTTTCTTTCCCTTTTTTAGACAGACATTTCGCACCCAGCTTCCCGGACTCTTACGAGGTCCCATTTTCGAGACACAGCACTCTTTTCCCAAAATCTGAGCGGCACCAGACAACCGAGTGCTTGGCATCCAGCCGCGCTGAGCGTTTCCCCTTCCGCAAGCGGCAGCGAATGGTTCTGCACTGATAGCCGCCCCAAGTCGCAGGCCTTGTCTTGTCACGGCAACTGGAAGTAGCCAGTTTCCAACCTTAGATGCAGCTTTTCATACCGTGATCTTCTGATCGTCAAAGCCTTGACGGCTGGCGGCTGACAGCGTGTGGTGTGCGCGGTGCAGCTGCGCGGCTGCGGTTGCGGGACCCGGTGGAGCACGCGGGGCTGCTGAACGCGGACGAGTACGCCACCACGTACAAGCACACCATCGACGCCACCGCCAAGAAACTGACACGTGGCGCCCACTGAGCGCAGCCGGGCAGGGCAAAGCGCCAGATCTTCCGGAGAAGTCCGGAAAATGCTTCTGGCCGGAATGCGTCAAGAATATAGTGGCTCGTGTCGACGACTCAAGTTGGCTGAACGATGTAACGTTTTCTCTACTGTAAACCACATTCGGCAACCAATTCAACGGAGACACAGACTTTCGGAGGTTGCTGACCTCACATTCCTATAAAAGTCTGGCCTTCACATGGTCTGTGTGATTCCAGCAAGGCCGCATATAATCTGGTCAATTACGACGACATAACCTGTCTACATACGAGTCAGAGCCTTTGTTACGATGGACGACCTTGGTCTTTGAATGCAAAGCCGGCGAGCGGAGAGCCGGATAAAGAAGGCTTAGGCAGGTTACACGGATAAAAGAAGGATAAAAGAAAAAACGGAGTCAGAATTGGGAGAAGTGTCGGGGAATAGGGAGGCAGATCACTGAAAGCCGTTGTGCCTGAAGATGGCGCAAGAGAGATCGGTTTGGCCCAGGTAAACTGGAATTTAAAAGTCACGGCTCGTCCGACCACAACGCCGCTTCCGCCTTATTGCAATCGCTTCGTGTCCACCTTCAAAGATGATATATGTAGAGCAGGCTCGAAGCTTGATGATCCTTAGCAACGTTTCGAGCTCGCGATCGCACTCATAATCCGTCCTCATCGCTGAGGGGCTGATCGTGCGAAAAATGACCTGCCCGAGTCATCCGATAATTTGATCGGACAATCCAGGTCACCTCCGTCCGATGTCTCCACAAGTTTGCAAGTTGATGACTAAAAGGTCCGAGTCAAAGGACGCGTACGGTGCAGTTGCAAGCTCCATTTCCCATTGGCCCAACCAACGTACGAGCTCAAACCGGTTGCGGCGCATGATCCGAGGCTCTCAAAGAATGAGAGCTGGATTCAACGGGGAGTCCGTGTCCTAGCAGATTTATGAACCAGAGTCAGGAACAACGCATCGATCTGGTGCACATATGCATGTGCACATGCGTTGTTAGGAGCACCGAGCGGCCGTTCCCCTGCCAGGCTGCCCTGCTCAAACATAATGTTGTTCTTGAGAACACCCTCTTGCTTACTACCTAGCTAGCCCGCTGTTCTTGGACTGAACTTGCTGGAGTTTGAATGATCAACAGCTGGCTGCAGCTGCAGGTCGGAGCCTGACAATAATGAAAGACTGTCGGATCGAATGAGTCCGGCAGATATGTGCATCCCATGTGATCCCTTGTGCGTTTATCAACGGTTGCGAACGTGTGATGTGCACATCGGGCGGTTGACTTTCAGCGTAGTCCTGCGCGCGCGACCCACAGGCTGCTTTGATCTGCCTGTTCCGACCGACAAAGTCCTCCGTCATAAAGGCAAAGGCAGGCTTGGAAAGTTGAGCTGCGTTCATATTTGTCAATGTTATCTTTTCAAGCAGCTGTGCGCTGAGCTTTCCTGCCGTAACGCTTCTCGTTGCCAAAGCTTCAGCTGCACTTTCTTTGCATTTGGCAATGTGCGCTTGATCGTTCTCAGCCATGGTGCTGCCTCCCCGCTTGCTCGAACATGGCCAAGCTGGCCCCCGCGTGCACCACCCTCTCGGCGCGCCCCGCCATGCTGGCGCTGCTGTTGTGTATGGCAGGGTCGGTGTACCTGCTGCAACTAGAGCTGCCGCAAGACAGCGCATCGCTCGACGATGCTCTTCACGACGCCCATTCGCACGCCAACAAAGGGTACGGTGTCGCAGCAGCTGGGCTTCTTCCACGGAGAGGCACGCGGGGGGTGGCAAGCAGGGACTGCCGGCAGTCGCGCGACCGCTCGAGCTGTTCTGGAGAGCATTACGGAGAGAGTAGAGAGGAAGAATTGCTGGAAGCATCAGTGGAGCCAGGGCACCTGCGAGCTGGGCAGGATGGAATTACTGCCTCAAGTGGGAGTGGGCAGGAAACGGGGGATAGCAGCAAGTTTGGGGAAGGGCCAGCGGCAGCTAGCCATGCTGGTAGGCAAGCGCAAGGCGCAGCGCCTCTCTGGCTTAGGGAGCCTGGCCGCAAGGGGGGGAGTGTAACTGGCAGTGCCACCAGTGGCCATCAGCAACGAGCGCAGACTGATGGTATAGGAAAGGTGCACGGTAGAGCTAGTCAAAAGTCAACGGGTGTACATGTTGGCTCGGAAGCAGTTGGGTCCACCGTTGTGGGTCCAACGGGTGAGCAAAATCAAGTGACACGGAAGGAAGCTACTACAGAGTCAGGGCCCGCAGCACAGAGCTCAAGGGGTAGGAGCATTCGCGGGCTGCAGGCGCAGGTGCAGCAGTGCATTGTAGAGAGGGGAGGCGGCTTGCGCGCGGAGGCGGTGCTGGGGGATCCCTGCAAGGTCCGCGTGATGCACCCGCCTGGGGTGGCAGCTACATGGGTGAGCCACCCCCACCGCAGCAGAGCCTTAGTCCAATATATTTCAGAATGGGAAGAACTGACCGGTTTAAACTGTGCCAATGTTGACTGTCGGCTTTCAAATAGTTGAGGCAGTTGACAACCCATCTCGTGCAAGAATGCAGGTCCAGACCCGGCAGGAAGGCCCACCAACATGGCCGCACCACTGGTCCTGGCCTTCCTTTCTCTGTTCCCTCTTCTGCAAGGCATTGCACGGAACATTGTCATGACTTGTGGGATACCTTGCCCGTCCATCTTACTGGCCCCTAACTCAGAATCAGCACCAATGGTTGTGCCTCTGACACAATTGTTCCTTTGGCAACTCCCACAAGTGTTCCCTTGGCAGGCGGACAGCAGCGGGGCGCAAAAGGATGCGCGCGAGGTGGAGCTGGACGTGTGTGCGGTGGCGCGCTACTGGGCGGTGCTGCGCAACAGCAGCTTGGTCCTCACCAAGGAGTACCTTGATGCACACAACGCCACAGCCGCAGTCATGCACCGCATGCGCCGCCACAAGAGCGACCCGTGAGCACACTCAACATGCTTCCCATACTCGTTGCTGCTGTTTCTGAGTTACTCTTGGGCAAGCGCAACCTAGTTCGGTGCTGGCAGAGTTATGCACTGCGTCTGACTGGGCTGGGATCAGGGGTAGCGTCTCGCAGCCGCCTTCATTCCCCACCCAGATCGTTATGAAGGGCACCTGATGTGTCTGCACTGCGATTAAATCGGCCTTCAAACCCCTTTGAAGACCAGTCCCGGAACGGCTGACTGGCTCAGCGTGCTTTTCGATAGTTTCGCAGCTGCACGATTGCAGAGCGCCGATTGGATGCCTACCGCTGTTTGGCCAGGGTGTATCGATAGAAGGAGTACCAAAGCCTAGGCCAATGAGGACCCTACGGTGATCCTGCCAAAGCTGAACGACGTGCAGCCTATGCCAGTCTGGACGAAGCACTAGTGGCACCCAGCACAGAAGCTGCTCTTGGCGGGAAGACTGCTGCTTCGGCCTGAATGAAACCAAGAGTGTGCTTTGCTTTCTTCAGCCAACCCCGTGCGCTGCTTCCGAAACAGGGCCACTGCTCTGTGTGTCGCATGCTTGTTCGAGAACGGCGGGCATGACGATCCGTGTCTTCCGCTGTGCAGCGATTCCTGGTGTCGCCCCAAGCGGTGCCTGCACATTCTGCGCAGCCAGCTCCCCGACCGGCCGCCCTTGCCCCCCGGCTACTTCCCGCGGTGCGCTGTGGTGAGCTCTTGCGGCCCACAAAAGCCCCTCAAAACTGGAGCGATCAAAACAGTTGGCGTTTCGGGAACCGCAATTCCGTCAGGTCGGAGATGACATCTGCACTTGAGATGGCCTTAAAACATAACCAAAGCGGGGTATTGCCGTTGATCTAAACCATGTTCTTGGCTTTCCTTGGGGCTGTATGTTTCAAAACAAAATGTATAGAGTGTAGTTTAAGGACACAACTGGAAAAGTTCGGCAGCGGATCCTTCCTAAGTTCTGCAAAGGTCACCGCCTATTTTCATCGTCCATCTTCACGTGCTCCACTCTGCTCAATTTGTATCAAGCTCAATGCGTCTTCTTCCCCGACAATGCAGGTGGGCAACTCGGCGGATCTGCTGCACACGCGCTTCGGCCCCGAGATCGACGGCCACGACGCAGTGTTCCGCATGAACGCCGCGCCGACGCGTGGCTTCACCGCGCACGTGGGCGCCACGACGACGTTCCGCGTGGTGAACAACCGGGCGTGGGCGGTGGGCCTGGGGGCCGTCAGCGAAAGCGCGGCCGAAGTGCTGGTGGCGCATGGGCTGTTCCACCCGGATATCTTCCAGGAGCTGCGCTACGGCCTGCCGCGCAAGAACAACGCCACCAGCGGGTTTGCCCAAGAAGAAGAGGAAGGGGAAAGCCGGGGGGGAAAGGAGGGCGCCGGCGGAAACGGGACGAGCCTCGACGATGATCTGCGGGACGAAAATGCTTTCGGGTCCAATTTGAATCGAAGCTTGGGTAAACAAAGTATGAGGTTGGGCCGGAACGGTACAAGAAACGGGGGAACTACTGGTGAGAAGTCTGGCGGGCTAGAGTCGGACGGCGAGGAGAGCGGTCCCGGCGAGTGGGGTCCGCCGCTGGCCAACCCGGTGCTGTTCCTGGACGGGGCAGCCGCGGGCGCGGGCGCGGCGGAGGGCACGGGCTTCCGCGCGCTGCAGCTGGCAGCGAGCGTGTGCGGTGCCGTCAGCCTGTACGGGTTCAGCGTGGACGTGGGGTACGCGCGCTGGGGCAAGTACTTCACGGCCCGCGACGGGCCGGGCCACGCGCCGCTGCGGGGGGTCATGTACTACCAGGCGCTCGAGTGCCTCGGGGTGAGCGCGCTCGATCTTTGAATTCCGGACCACATTTGCAAACGGACATGGTTTGCTTGAAGCTCTTCACCACGAAAAGTTCGACTCCAAACGATTGAAGCGTAAAAGTGGTTCAGGCGTCGCTTTTACACTCATGAGAGCTGGACGTTCCTTCGGCATGGTTTGACTTTGAATGCCCCTAAAATGTCCTTATGACTATATTTTATCGTCTCTTTTTCTGCCCATCGACTTGGCTGTCCCCTCTCCCCGCCACCGCATCCTGCAAAATGCATCCTCTTACAGGGACCCCCTCTTCTTCTGCCAGGTCGTGTCCCTGCACTCCGCCGCCCGCTCATCTCGCTCGCACGTGGCTCCACCTCCGCCGCTTCTTGCCGATGTCCTTGCGGCGGTGCAGTCCGCCGAAATTTCGAGACCGCCCTCGTCATGCAGCCGTTGGGCGGCCGCATTCACACCGCGGTCTCGCACCCGCACCTCATGCAATAGCCCCGTTGCGCTGCCGCTCAAGCCGGCCGCGATGCGTGCTGCCAAGTTTGACGTGATCGCGGGCCTGCACGTGCACGCCGGCAACATGAGCGGCCTCTTGCGACCGCTTCGGGAGGACAACGGCGCATCCGTAACGCGCTCCGCAAGCATGCAAGAGGCCATCCATTCAGCAGCCTTGGATGATGCCCTCACCGACCTCATCGAGAAGGACCTGCCTCGTGGGAGAGTGCAAAAAGCAGTCGACATTGAACCGGGGCGGCTGCTACCGGTAACACGCTACTTGGAGCATTTTGATTGGACGCACCACGTGTGCGTCATCAGACTTCCTGAAAAAAGCAACCGTAGAGCGTACGGAGACTTTGACGGCATCAGCCACGGGCGAGAAAAGGCGGACCTACAACAGGTACTTGGACCGGAGGGCGGCGCCCGAAAGGACAACAAGACCCGACTCGGCACAACATATGGAAGTTCTGCGGAGGGCAGTCAAAACTTTGATACAGTTAGCTTAGGTTGGCTGGTGCATTACCAACCCAACTTGTGTTAGTGGACTAGTTGCTCGTGGACTTGGAAGGTTCATTCATGCATCGACTAGCAGGGTTGGATGTAAAAAGAGACTACCCATGTCGTAAAATCTCAAAAGCATATGAGACACCGTTACAACGCGTGAATGTGGGGTGGCTGCGAACTCACAGGAAGCGGCACCGGAGTTGTGAACACTTTGCAATATGTTTGTGAGTCGATCAAACGTTGAAACGTGTAGTCGTATAAGGCAGCTGAGCCCATAAAAAACAAGCTCGCAAATCTAATCAGTACGAGACAGAGGCAGACTTGTGTTGATTGCGACTTGTAGAGCAACACATTTGCTTGCGCGCAACTAGTTGAAACCGCGACCTTCGCGAAAAATCGGTCCGCTAAGGTGGTGGGCGCTTTCTCAATGGACCAACGATGCCCGTCTGTGGCATAAACGGCGTTACACGAAACATCGTTTTCATTCGGCTATGTCAAGAAACTTAGCTCGTGACAAAACCGGGTTGCAAGCTATATTGACTGCACAAGGTTTCAAAGATCCTTAACGGTGTTTTGGCAAGCTAAGCTCGCTTGCGGAATCTTATGACGATTTTCGAGACATATTCGAGACTTGCGTATGCTATAATCGCATTCATCACTGTACTGAACACGTTTGAACCACTTGAAATTCAAGTATAGCAACTTAGTGGTCAAAAGGAACGCCGGCATCTTATGTTCAGCTGCTATAATAACCATCTTTAAGCAGAATCCGAGCAAGGTGTTAACGCCTGACTCCTTGAAGTACTATATCTGGCATAATGAATTTGAGGCGCGAATTCGTTGCGCCGTCAATAGCGACCGGGAAACGGGTCATGCCTTGGGCGTAGGAGAAAGCTAAAGGCATGTTGATGTTTTGCCAAGCGAAGGCAACTTTGCCAAGTTCGGAAGGACACCTGCTTGGTCGTGAAGAAAGCCGAGAGCCGGTGCTGTGGCACCTAAATTCGGGTGACCCTAGCTCTCAGAGCTTGGCCGAGATGGTCAAGGGCCAGGGCCCGTTGGTCTGGAGTGTGGGGCTCAAATCCAAGGCGTTCGAGGGCAAACTTTACTTCGATGTGTGAGCGTTGCATCATGGGGAAGCAAATCAAGACTCGCCGTTTCCCAAGAACTCAGGGGACTTCAAGAGGGAACGGAGTTCCTTGAGCTCGTGCACTTGAATAGTTGCGCAATGCCCATGCAGGTGACGTCAACGGAAAAAGCAAGGTAGTTGGCCACTTTCTTTGAGTGACTGATAGGCAGCTTTTGAGGTGCAATAGATGAAGCACTTCGTGGGAACCGGCCGCCACCACTTCCGATTTTTTGACGAGCTCCCAGGTCCCATTCTCATACAAAGATTGCATCTCCTCGTCCATTGACTTCCGCCATAGTTCACTCTCCTCTCCGCATACGTCTTTCTGATAGGTCTGCGGTTCTGGGTGCTTCCCCGCTTTTGGTTCCGCCGCTAAGTTAGCGCGGTACCACTCCCCCAGTGCGCGTCTTTCACGCGCGGGGTACCTCTGGGCAGTCGGTGTTTGCATTCCGGTATCCTCCTCTATCTCTTTCGCCTTTGCTTTGGCCCTCGCGCACAGTTTCGAAGTCAACCCTCATTTTGGCGCCCGTTCGTGAAAGCGCGCGCGGCGGCCGCGGGTCGGAGGCGCGCGCGGCCGCGTTGCCCTCGCACAGAAATACGACTTTTGACCCCTGTTGAGCCTCCGTGTGAAGCTGTGCGTTGTGACCCTCCGCCGTCTGGGAACCGTCCGTGGGGTCGAAGCCAAGCTCGACAACCCCATCCCCCCCAATCCCTTCGTCAAAGATGACGTCCGCGGGATGATTACTTTCCGTCGCGGTCTTGGAGCAACCTATACGCCTTCGAGTCCGGCTCGTACCCCACGAACACGCATCGCTTGCTAATTGGAACTAGCGTACGCCTTAGCTGCTTGGGAACGTGCCACGCAAAATGCTCGGCTCCAAAAATCCTCATATGCCCGCCACATTCGACTTTTCACCAAAGGAACTTCCAAGGAACTCCTCCCATTAGCGCGCACGGGCGTCCGGTCGGCAAGTGTAGTTGGCCGTCACCACGGCTTCCGCCCACAACTCTCAGCGGCCAACCCCGAGTCCTCAAGCCTTGCCCCCGTCTTCCGAAGTTCTCTTCTAAATCATGGTTAAGCCGCTCCGCCGATCGTTCTGCTCGGCCGTGTAGGGGGCGGTCTTCTCGTGCACCATCCCCTTGCCCCAGAACACGTCTTTGAGGGCCTTGTTGACATATTCCTTCCCTCGATCCGTCCGCACCGACCTGATCTTCTTCCCCGAATGCTATTTCAACTGGTTAATCACGTGCTCGGTCACCTTGGCCACCTCGCTCTTTTGCTTCATGGGGACTACAACCGAGAGCTTGCTGTAGTAGTCCAAAAACGTGGCAAAGTACCGGCGGGCCCCCGACCGAGGGGACCGGCATCGGCCCGCAGACGTCCATGTGAACCAGCTTGAGAGGCCCTTCATGCTCACCGACTCAGCAACTCTGGGAAGGGAAGCCGCGTTTGCTTCTCCATGATGCACTGCTCACACCGAGGTTTTGAGCGCCCTAAGCGCCCCCGGTTT